TAACGTGTTATAAAATAAAGACTATAAAGTAAAGACAAGTATAGAGAGAAACTAATATATTATATTTATAACTGAAAGTAGAATTTAATATATTTATAACTGAAAGTAGAATTTTTTAAATGAACATACATACATAATATAATATATTTATAACTGAAAGTAGAATTTTTTAAAGTCGTATTTAACTAATTTTCGCATAGCATAGCTAATGCTCGTATTATTATACAGCAAAAAAGGTCTTAATTTCTTAATCTTCTTCCAACAATCCAACCCACCAGCCTTCTGATTCCAACATCCTTACTTATCATCTCTCTGATTATCGATAGGTGACTGACCTTGAATTTACGCCCTACTTGCTCTTCTCTTCGAGGTGGCAGACAAGCGCTTGGGCAAAAACGGTTTGGATCTGGAGATCAGGGACTGTTCTCAAATCTCCAATCTTCATCTATTACCTGGAATCTCGCTCTTTGCCTCTTGATTTAGGTAACCCACTCCCCATTTCTTTTTAATTTAATTCATCTAAACTTGTTGGATTACAGATTTTTGTTTTTGTTTTTATACAGTGGAAGTTTTTCTGGGTTTTGCAATTGTGAACTGTATAGGAAGAGAGCCATATTTCCATTATTTTTTCATCATAAGTAACAAAACTTGTTCTTTAAGAAACGCATTTTAGTCCGTATTAACTTCAAAAGAATCATTCACCATTTAAACAAAGGGTGAAGAGAAGGGTTTTATACAGACGCCCTTATCATCTTGTTGTCTGCTTTCAAAATATACCAAACTAGAAATGAATGAAGGTTCCAAAATGGTATTTCTTTTAATGCAAGGAAATGCTATGTATGATGCAGTCTCATATGCTATTCCGTCTGTTTTTGTTTGATGAACTACAGTCAGTTTAATGCGCTGCCTGATCCATTGAAATATAAAGATTAACTCATAAGTTCAAATTTTCGAGTAGCCAGAATTCTAAAAGTAATTCTGTCCCGAATATATTGATATTATGTTCATAACAATGTCTGTCACGAATTTAGTTAATATTGGTACAACATCAGTTCGTTTGGTATATATTCAGTACTTCTTTATTAAAAATAGTATATATTCAGAACTTCTGGTAACCGTTCTTCATGCTGATCCATCTTCTTGTTGCTTTTTAGCTGCTTAATATTAGTATCTGTATGATATCAATTTCTATGTCCTCTATTCTGTATTTTAAGTAACGAAACAAATCAATGTGGTATTTGAAGTTACTGATACTTATAGAAAAGAAAAACAAATGTGGAATTGCCTCTTAGGCTTTGGTTCAATGGAAAAGGTAACCCAGAGTGTGATTTGTGGTAGGTGCACGTAATGAGTTTGAGACTTTACTAGTGAACCAGGTCTGGCATCTAAGTGGAAAATGGTACCAATTGTCCGCCGAGTTTCGAAGTTCTAACAGTCAATATCTCTATTATCGTGAAAATGGAATGTGGAGGCTTTTCTAGCAATACTGATTATTAAGAAGATAATATATCATTCAAAGTTTAACGAAATTTCAGCATCAGCTATGTGGCTTCACTCAAAACTTGGAAATTTAATTGTTGGGTGGTCAAAGGAGCTTACATACTGTAAACTATGCACAACCACAGCGAAGTACCTGATTCCATGAGTGAACAACAGCCTAGACTCCAAATTTTAGACTTCTCCACTACTTGCCAGCCCTATGGTGGTAAACACTTAGTAAGTATATGTACTGTGGTACATGTTTAAATTATAGAGCACTGCAATGAAAGATGTTGCAGAAAACAAGCACCTGAACATCGTAGAGTTTAAATGATGTCTTAAATCTTAGCCGCTACTGGTTGGATCTGGGGTAGTATATGCAATCCAAAGTTGAGGTATTAAACAGGCAGGTCATAGGATATAGGCTGATTGAATTTTGCTATATAATAGTAGCTGGATAGGATCATTATCATTGGAGCTTCTGTGGTAAATGCTACAGGATATCGTTAAAACGACTTAGAAGAAGGGGGGAGAAGACTAGACGGCAAACCTTGGTTCTTCAGCATTCCACATCACAGTGTTGGAAATGTTCCTTTTCCTGATAAATGACAAGAGTTAAACAAATGTCATTAATGCCCGACTGGAAGCGGCAGTGTATATACAGTTTTAACTTGTAATATGACTACATACTAAGTTGTATATAAGCTATGGAGATTTAATTTCCTGGTAGTTGTATGTTATACATTGAGGTCGTTTTTTACTTTTCATTTCCTTTTGTTCTTGGGTCTAAATATTTTTTTTTCCCTATCAAGAAAGTCTTTGCGTAGATAGGTAAGTGTTACAACCTTGGGCAATGCGTACATAAAGATGACCGAGGAGATTGAAAAATCAGAAGATGATTTGTGAGAAAACATACGAGCGGAAACACTGCTCTCCTTCAGTGCAGAAATCTACTATAGAGACTCAGATTCCTTGTTTTTAAAATAACAAAAGCATTGCTCATGAAATGTTAGTGTCTGTGCTTCTGTGATCTTTTTTATTGGTTTGCGCTTCTATAATTCTGTTCATTTTTAACGTTTATTTACTTGATGAATCTAGTATAAGCTTAATGTTGGAGTATGCCCTTTTCATTTCAATCTGGTTATAAAGGTGCTCCGTGCACATAGTCATCTATTATTTGTCGTTTCATTTCATCATTTGATTGAAAAACAAAGAGGAGGCCTTGCAAACTTTTTTTTATTGCATAAATGTTTTGACAGCAAGTGTAAGAGGAGTTAACAGTTGCTACTTTACTGTGCAGGCTTGGTGGAAGGTGGAACTGATTAAGAGAGGAAAATCCAGATATGGTAAGTTAGATTGGAATACTTTTTCGTTTCTGTTGTTGAATGTAACAAGTATGATGCTCATTAGCTTCTTTCTTTTCCTCTTCGGTGGGATTTTCAGTCGGCTCTCTTCAATTTCCACTCCTTTCTGACGGTAGTGCTGTTAGGGATTTGTACATGCACTTATGTGAAGATACATTTTCCTGCACTTCTTGAACAGAGAACCGGGTAAGTCTTCTCCATGAGTATATAAATAATATAATGCATTGTAAGGAAGTATAAGTAGTTTTCTGTAGCTCTGTGGACAGGAGTTTGGCATTGGTGTCAATATTACCTATATTGGTTCTCAAAATTCATATGGTAGTTTCTTCCTTCTTTTTTTCCCATAGGTTAGCATTTTCTTCTTTATTTTCTCTAACTGTGTGGTAAAGGGTTAAGAAGTGCTTCATTTATCCTTTATTATGTGGATGCTCTTGGTTTGAGAATGTCCTTTTCTATTGCATTTCTGTCTTGGTTGACATTTCATGGATGGTCGCACTTATATGGCAGCAGGTAAGCTCGTTCTCTTACTGGGTACCATGTAAGTCTGCACATATGGTAAATTCTGTGATTGAACGGGTTTTCCTTCCCTGCTCAAGACACATATCGGCCCTCGCCGCACCCTCCCTCTGGTCAGCCACCTTTTCTGTGCAGACTCCGCCTCCTTACTCCTTCTTCACTGCCTGCATCCCTCATTGTATTTTGGGAGGGTGGAGGTGAGTAGAGAGACGGCAGAGACAGGTTAGGGTTGGAGGAAATATCCCATAAGGAGGGGCTTTGGGAGAGAGATGTATACCTTGTGTGATCAGAATTCTCCTGCAAAATATCCCTCTTCATATCCTATCTTTCATAAAGTTGAAACCCATAAAATGAAGGTTGTAGCATGGTTGATGTACTTGAGAGGCGCAAGACTTATGATTTCTTTCATGCAATTATCCTCCTCTGGAACTATGTATTTTCAATGATGAGGCATGTAACCCACTTTATGCATCGTCAAGTACCAGGAGATTGAGGATTTAAGAGTTCCAATGTAGTTTTTATTGCTCCGGGGAAATTGGTGGTTATGTCTGCAATTCTGCATTGTGGAAGGTATTTCAGTAAAAAATGTCTTTGCTAGGACTAAAGATGGGAAACTCTTGTATGAAATGATCCTGCTGTGGTAAAACATAATGCTAGTTTTGAGGGGGGAAAAATACAAGGGAATTTTTTATTGGATCTACTGTATTTTTCTTGACTCTTAAATGGGTTTCAACATGCCATTTCAGTTGAGGGCATCTCAGGCTTCAACTGTTTTTCCCATCTAAAAGATTTCAGGTTTAGAAGCTACAAAAAGTTTTGTAATATGTTCAACACTTGTATCTCCCCCTTAGTGTTGTGGATTATGACTTTGTTCTATGTATCTTTTTACATCCTAACGAGATGGTAACCGTGGCAGGTTTCGAGGTTTCTTTTGGAAGGCTGCTAGAATAGGTAAGTCATCTTCTACCGCACTGATGTTACTTGTATCAAAGAATTGTCTGGACTAATTTCCTCGCCTTTTTACAGAATCCCAAACTGTTTTGCCGGTTGTTAAAAACAATGCATGCATTTCTCTTAAATAATGAATCATTTGAAACCAAACCACACAATAGGATGGTGATGAATTGCTGAAGCACTGCTGAGATAAGGACTTACAGCTGAAACTTAGGCGTCATACTTTGAATAATAATAATAACACAATCCAGGCTAAGCATTATTATTCTGTAATAAGAGCATCATCTTTAGAGGAAAAACTATTCTTATAGTTCTCTCTTGCTTGACCTATTCATAATGTTTTGGGGTATCATGGTCGTTTCTCTTCCCCATTTGTTAATGTAACTGGATGCTTCATTTGCTGTGGTTGCATGTCATTTATATTCCCAAATCTTCCTCATGGTGGCTCTTTGAAGGTTCTTTGAACACTTTTTCCCAAGTCAAGAAAATGGAGGAAAATATTTACTTCTGAAAATTTCCTCTGCCATCCAAAATTTTGATTACATGCAACTTAAAGCAAGTAAACTTATGTAATAAGGATAGTTCCATAACTCACATTATGGAATTAACGAAAAAGAGGCAGTCAAATATTATGAATGTACACTGTCGTGGAAGTATGAAGGCCAAGACTGCGCTGAAACTAGAGACTTTGAATCCTTAGATGCCTCTGGCTTGTTCCGAGAATCTAGAGTTGGTGTAGAGGTGTGCTGATATTGGGTATGTCCAAGAGTAAGATTGTTTTGACGGTTTTTTCTTTTTGGGTACAGATTTCTCAATGGTGATAGAAGTTTGCTGTATTTACCAAAAAAATAATATTGTCAATGTCTTTTTTCATCCTACCATAGCAAATTTAGTCTTTTAATCCATTCATTCTTCCAGAATGCATGAAATTTAACAAGTTGTGTTACAATACTTCAACGTGAACAGGTGAACGGTTGAGTCCATGGGTGGCTGTGGGCTGTTTGACGATGGGTGTTTCAATAATCTTCTTCTGACAGAACAAACTGTTTGAACTCAAGAAAGTACACCCTCAGCTGGTGGTAAATTAGCAGTTGATTTTGTTTCTTCATCAAATGCTTTCTTTGATTAAAGGATGACACCAAGCTTGATGTGAGACCAATTCCTGCTTTCCTTGATCACTACTTGTATCGTGAACTGAATTTTAGCGTGTAAAATTATTGAGCTGTGATGAGAAGGTTGGAATCTGTGTTGTCTACTTTAGCACTCATAATTTTACTTTATGTGGTAATAGCTTAGTCTACAAATAGAAATCAAGAAGTCTGATTTATTTGTTTGAATTGATTATCATATGTCCAGTATTTGCGTGGTCTATCAGCTGCTTGAACACCATTGAAAAATTACTCCTGATCCACCCCTCCACAAGAAAAGAAATTTTCTTTAGAATTAAAAAAAAACCTCCACAATTATTAAGTATGAAAATATTTTCAAAGTCAGTTTGATTGATGCCCTGATGGTTGTGATGGTTGCTCTGATGGTAAGCAACCCCCACTTCCAACCGAAAGGTTGTGAGTTCGAGTTCCCCAAGAGTAAGGTGGGAAGTTCTTGGAGGGAAGGATGCCCCGGTCTATTTGGAAACAGTCTCTCTACCCTAGGGTAGGGGTAAGGTCTGCGTACACACTACCCTTCCCAGACCCCACTAAATGGGATTATACTGGGTTGTTATTGTTGTTGTAGTTTGATTGAGGCCCCCTTTATTCCTAGCATTAATTGGTTAGTTTTCAAGTTGCTGCGACCACCGAGTCCATAGATGTCTCTCCAAACTCTCCAATTAACTAATCTGACTAGCTATTTTATGTGTTGTCTTTTTCATATTAATGGTGGTCGGGTCAATTTTTGTTATTTTGCCTATTTCAGTAAGTACTCGCTAGCTCTTATCAAAGTTGGGCAACTTTATCAGTCAGATGTTACGTGGATGGGAAAAACTTGTCTAGATTTGAATTTTAGGGTGTGTTTGGTACGAAAGAAAATATATTTCGAAAAATATTTTTCAATTTTTTTCATGTTTGGTTGGCTCAACTATTTTCGAAAATATTTTATTTTTCTATCAAGGGAAGGAAAAATATTTTCCAAAACTCCTTTTTAACTTTCTCGCCCCTATTTCTCATCCCCACCAACCCACCCATCCACCCCTCACCCCAACCCCAACCCACTCTCGCCCCACCCCATCCTAAATAGAAATATTATTAATGGTACTTTTTTTTTTTCATTTTAACAAATGTGTATTTTTCTTTTTATGATATAAAAAAGTATTTTTTTTCTATTTTAACAAAAAGGTACTTTCTTTTCATGATGTAAAAAAAATATTTTCTTTCATTTCAACAAAATGATGTAGTCAATAGTATCTTCTTTCATTTCAACAATAAAAGTTTTTTTTTCATAATGTAGAAAAAATATTTTCTTTCATTTCAACAAAAAAATATTTTCTTTTCATGATGTAGAAAAAGTATTTTCTTTTAATTCAACAAAATGAGTATTTTCTTTTCATGATACAGAAAAAATATTTTTTTCATTCCAACAAAATAAGTACTTTATTTTCATATTGTAGCTTTCTTTTTGAACCAAATAAAGAGTATTTTCTTTTTAGTTATGGAGTACAAATTTCAACTTTATTTTTCTACGTAAAAAAGTAATGAAGCACATTAGTGCCTTTGAGTTTGTGTGAATTTTTAGAAGAAAAATAGAATTCTGAAAATGTTGGGTATTTGGGCGGGGAGGGGGAGAGCACAAGAAATATGGGGACTTGGGGGAAGGGGGTGAGTGAGGAGAGTAGCATAAAAAATATTTTCTACTCAACCAAATAACAGGAAAAAAATTTCGAAATTTTTTTTTCACTCACCAACCAAACAACGGAAAATAAGTCATAAAACCACTCATTTTTCATTAAAACATTTTCCTTCGTACCAAACACACCCTTAGTGACACATGATTTCCATCTTACTTGGTATATAGTACATTTGTGCCTCTTCAGAACGTCAGCCGTCAGGTCGGGGTCTAGTCCTATTTTATCAATCAAAGAGTTAGTAAAAAGCAATTTTAAAGCAGTAATTTAAGCTTTCGTTTGGCCATAACTTTTTTTAATTTACTTTTTTCCAAAATATTTAATTATTGGGAAAAGGCTCTAATATATCCTTGTACTTTGATAAATAGTACATTCCTCTCCCTCGTTATACTATCAGGCCATTTAAAGGCCTACCGTTAGGAAAGTGAAAAAAATACCCTTATTTTTAACCCCCATCCAACAAAGCAATTAAAATGTCACCTGGAAAGCCACAGTGGACAGATCCGACCCGTAACCCGTTCCACCTATTACTTAAATACTTATTTACCCGTTTTTAATAAAGAAAAGGGTCATTTTTTCTTGTTAGCTGAGAGAACGACGGTGAGGCGATTTAGGGTTCCTCCTATATGCATCAATTCTCTTCCAGATTTTCTGTAAAATCCTTCAAAGATATAGTTTTTTTTATTCTATTAAACTTGGTTGCTGTTATTTCTAAAAATAAAAAGGAAACAGTCAATAATTTTAAAAGAATAACATTGAAGTAAAATAGAATAAGTACCTTCTGCATGTCTGACATGAATGTGTACCCTTCCCCTAGACTGAGGTCTAATGAATTGTTCAACAATGTCAAGAACCAGGTCCAGGTGACCTTTGTTTCTTTATCCACAACAGCCCAAGCAATAGGATAAAAATGATTCATTGAATCAAGAGCAATAACAACTAAAAGCTGGCCTTAGGTTCCATCCAAGCCAATAAAGGGTCTCAACCCACTCTTAAACCCCATTTTTAGAGCATGAAAACAAATATACATCCTAGAAAATCTTCTTTTTCCTTCAGCAAGTGCATCCTTTGATAAGGTAACTATTACATCACTCCCTGGATTACTCAGCCTCAATTCATTAGCATATGCCTCTATCTTATTATACTCATCAGTAAAACTACCAGCAAGGGATTCAAGTATTCTCTTGGCCCTCTTACACTTTGCATGGCTAACATTGATGTTGAGATATAAACTCCAAACCATATTCCCGGTTATTTTCAACAACACCCAATCCAAACAAATAATGATTTTTGAAAACCCAAGATTGAATTCAAAGCTTTCAAGCTTTTTAATGGTTGTCAATAGTGGAATTGCTGCTCTCTTTTCATTTGCTTTGTATTACTGAAATTTGCGATTGAGAAATAGAGAGACATGCAGAGAGAATGTCGACAAACTAAGCTTTTACATAACTGATTTCTACAATTTGATTCGAATTTGTTGACGATTTTGTCTTTTTTTTTTGATTTGTGGCTTAAGGAAAAATATCGAAGAACAGCGTTTTGGCAGAAAAGAGTCTATGTAATTTGATTTTAAATTGAAGATATAGGATTTGCGTTTCAAATTTGATCTGAAGGTCGCTAAATCAATTAGAATATTTTGTTCCTGATTTGTAGCGCGCCTAATTAGGAAGGAATCAACTCCTAATAATTAGTATTTAATGAATGGTATAATAATTGTAGAAAAACTGTGAACATGACGGGTAAATATGAAACTATGCACATTTTTGGTAATAAGGTTTCATATATGGTATAGAAAGGAAAAAGTCTCATTCAAAAATAGCGTCATTCAAAAATAGTCACATTTTCAAAAGTAATCGAAATTTAGTCACTTTTCATGTGAAGATAAACCTGAACGAAAGCGATGTTCAAAATCCGAAAAATACTCCAACATGGTATACTGAAACTCCAGTATAATACATTGAAGTTCCAGCATAAGTATACTGGAGTTCTAGTATAATATACTGGTCCAACATAATATGCTAGAAGTTCATACACAAGTGTTCCAGTCTCCAGTATATTAAGCTGGAACTTTCCGCGTGTTAGAGTTCCAGCATAATATATTGGAAGTTCATACACAGGTGCACCAATCTCCAGTATATTACGCTGAAACTTTCTGTGTTGCAGCAAAATAGTGGCTCTTTTTAATGACTTTGCAAATGCTAACTATTTTTGAATGATCAGTCTAAAAATTGACTAACCCGTGCTTTTTTTTACACCTATCGCTATCAGCAGCCTTCAACATTTGCAAAACTAGACAACATTTGCCAGTGTATTTTACATACTTGCTAGTTATAGCATGTTAATTAGTACTCCCCCCGGGGGGGAGAGGGGGGCGGAAAGCCCAAGACTACAATTCACTTTACTATAAATATTTACCTATAGTTGAATAGTAGTAATGTAATAGTATTTAAAATTATATTTTAAAATTATATTAGTATATGTTTATGTATAAAACTTAAAAACTCATATGGATTTTGAGGGTGCAAACAGTGAGACTGAGAGGGACGGTATTCAGGGGAAAAATGATACTGACTGTATAACCGCTGTAAAAATAATAGCCCAAAAAATATATAAAATTTCTATATTTTTTTGTATATATACATTATGTATGTTACATACAAAAATTATATACTTTTTTGATTAAGAGGTGTAAATAGTTTTTGGCGTGGGTTAAAAGTGATAATACCCCGCATTTAGGGGCCTAAGAGCTGGTCTCTCCTTTAACTAGTAAAGGAATGGAGGATTTGCATTTATACCCAGTTTTTGGGCCACCTTTTAATTTATACCCGCTTTCCAAAAAAAATTGTAAGCGTACCCATTTTTCTCGTAGCTTAGCAAAAATGTATGTTTGAAGTTTGAACTTCATAATTTTTTGCCTGAAGTTTGACCTGACTTGCAAAGGCAATCACGCAAACTTTAGTTCATAAGCAAGGACAAACTTCAATTTAATTGTGTATGTCTGAAGTTTGAACTTCATAATTTTTTGCATGAAGTATAGCCTTATCAAAGCAAAATTTTAGATATTTTTGCCTGAAGTTTGACCTGACTTGCAAAGGCAATCACGCAAACTTCAGTTCAATTGTGTACTTCAGATATTTTTCTATGAACTTCGGATATTTTGACATAAACTTCAAACATTTGGTTATGAACTTCAGATATTTGGCTAAGATTGTCAAACATATGGTGTATATACTTCAGATACTAAAGTATAAACTTCAGACATTTGAGTCTAAAGTTACGCGTTGCTATTGGCGAATTTCAGATGGCCAAGTCTAAAGTTTTATTTAATAATTCCAGTCCGGCGAGGCAACACTACCAATGAAACCATGTATTACCAAGAAACCGAAATTCGGAGAGCGAAGATGACGTTTTATTCTTGCATATTGCCATGAACTAAGAGATACAGTTCAACATGAACTCTCAAGATCCTAAACTGGGGAACTCATCAGAAAAGAAGAGGAGGAAAAAATGGACGCATAGGTCAGGAGGAA